AGAGAGAGAGACAGAGAGAGAGACAGAGAGAGAGACAGAGAGAGAGACAGAGAGAGAGAGAAACAGAGAGAGACAGAGAGAGAGAGAGACAGAGAGAGACAGAGAGAGAGAGAGAGACAGAGAGAGAGAGAGACAGAGAGAGAGAGACAGAGAGAGAGAGAGACAGAGAGAGAGAGAGACAGAGAGAGAGACAGAGACAGAGAGAGAGAGACAGAGAACCTACACCATACTGTTAGTAACAGGCATCTTTGTTTTTCATTCTTTTTTTAAAAGAGATTATTCATTGACAGTTTCCCCACAAATATGGTGAGCTTTAGTCACGTTCACACCTGTTACTCTGCCATCTACCCTCCTCTGGTTGGACTCTTCTCCCTAACAGTCACACCTAGCTTCACATTGTTTGGCGAGTGTGATCCACAGAATCTAACTACAGTTGCCTGCATGAACACTGGTGGGCGGTTATTAAAGCATCAGCTATTGTTGGTGGTAACAACATCAAAGATGATGATACTCCTTCCCCCAGCAACTGTTAACTGCCAATAGTCCCTTGGGGAGGGGAGGACTCCATGCGTCTCACTCCTGGCCATGATGAGATGTCGAAGGCCCAAGCCTGGCAGAGTTTGTGCAGCAAACCACCACTGCAGCTCACTGAGCGCAAGGACTGTCCCGATCAGATCTCATTTCACTGCACACCCCCTTGCCGTCTCACCCTTTCTTCCACAGTGTTTCCTGAGTCCTGATTCAGATGTCTTGTTTAAAGCCAAGAACTCCACCATCACTGATTCTTGGAACTTTGACCAGTTCTGAGTCTCTGCACTAGCCACTGCCCACAGCTACAAGGCATTTCTGAGCAAGGTTAAAAGTAGAGCTAACCTGTGGGTATAAAACTGAGTGTTTAGAAGGCAGTTTAACAGTGTGTCCATTTGTCAAGGAAGCAGTAATGGGTTCCCCTGAAGAGCCTCTGAGCCATCCAGCCACAGGTTCTGGACTAAGGTTACAGTATCAAACATGAGTTCCTTCTGATTGGCCCCAAATCCAATCAGAAAGTAAATGGCTATGCCGTTCATAACCATGCCACTGTTATCAGGTAGGTCAGTGTTATAGCTTGCAGCGTTCAAAGGTAAGACTGTTAGCGGCTCTTCTCCCCCTGTAGCCCGCATAGAGCCTTCCAGAACTATGGAAGTCAGCCAGCAGGAGGGAGGCTTCCAGTTCAGTTCCAGCTTGATTTCTCTGTGTTCTGTATCCAAAGTGTGTGCTTGATTTCTTTAGCAATTGGGTCTTACCATCAAATTCTGCTGGGTAACCAAGAGCAGTGGTGATAGCCTGTCCTGTTTTGGGAGCTTCTGGGCCTCCCTGAACCTTCCTGACAAACAACTGGTAAGGTGTTATACACCTGGCATTGGTATTTCCGTTTCATTCTGGCCACCCATACATGGTATCCTTGTTTAACTCTAATCATTAAATTTTAAATAAATTTATGAAGCAATGTTTCCAATCTTTACTTTTGGATTTTCCCCAGCTGCCATTTCCTTCCACCACCACCACCCTCCCACCGCCATGTAGACCATTCCAACCCCGCCTCCCAGCTTCTGCTTTCACATCGCACTTCCGATCAAAATATTAAAAAGGGAAACAGAAAGGTGAACAAGGCCATGCTCTATAGTGACACAGACAGGAGAGATACCAGAAAAATTCTTGGCCAGAGCAGTGCTGAGACACCACTTCAAAAAGACTCCAACTGAGTCAGCAGCTTGAGAGACCCAGAATGGCCGTGAAGTTCGTTTTCAGAATACAGAAGCAAGCGCCACCTGACTATTGGCAGAATACCTTAGACTATAGGGAAGAAACCGTGCACAAAACCCTGCGCAGTACCAGGGAGGTGGAAATGGGGGACAAAGATCCGGATCCCAAGTGACCCAGAAAACCCTGTTAAAATCCAATCAGGGCACTTCCCACGGATGAGGCTAGCCTCACAAGGAACCATTCAGGGGTGTAACAGGCATTTGGGACCCCGGGAAGGAACTAGAAGGACCGGACTTCATTCACACTCAAGCCACGCCCCCTTCGCCTGAGGTTCTCCTTCCCTGAATTCCCAGTGTCAATGCAGGAGGCCAGCCAGCAGCTGTCCTACTGTGAGCTCTCTCTTGCTCTAACTGTCTCCTCCCTCCTCCTCCTTTTCTCTGTTCTTTAATTCTTAATTCCCTTTCCATAGACTTCCCAACAAGCATAGGTTAGCCCAGATTGCAGGGTCTCCGTGGCCTAGGCTTCCGAGACCTAGGACTCATTGTATTTCTCGACCTCTCTCTCTTTCATTCTACCTTTAGCCAAAACTGCCTCGTTCCCCATCCTCATCTCTGTTCATTGTTCCTACACAAGCCACTCTGCTCTGTCCCGCCTATTCATAGTCACGAGCTAGTGTCTTAGTGATATTGATCTATTCATGCGTGTTTACGCCTCACAATCAGCGGAGATCAAGGGGTGATCGTTTGTCACTTGGCCATTACTCTATGTTCTTGGCGGTCTTCACTTTGATAGCAGTCTTTTTTTTTTTTAAAACCAGGTACTGTCTTCTTCGGGGGAGTATGGGGCCTAACCTGATGATGCCCCATACACCAGCCAAGCAGAAAAACAAAAAACAAACAAACAAACAAACAAACAACAAAAATACCCAACCTTATTGCAACTCCGTCACTTTTGAACATTTTGAACATTCGTCTTAAAAGAAAACTCCAATTTAAAAAATTCCAACCACTAACCTAACTTATATGATCCAGCCCCAATACCGAAAAATGCCAACGTAGGAAAACTGAAGACATTATAGCTCAGTGCTCTGAGGATGGCAAAGCGGGTGGGAGTTTATAGAGACTACTGAATGCTGAGAAAGAGGCAGAAGGTCCATAGAAGCGGAACTCTAACGCCTGGTGGCGAGTGTCCTAGTGCCCCTATCAGCATCCTCAGAAGCCAGGAGGCAAAAGACGGAAGTGAGCCAAGTTCACATTCTAAGGCGCACCTGGATCTGTACTCAAATTTGCCATTTCAGGCCCCGCCCCCTTGCTCTTCCCTTCACAACTCCACTCCCGGGATTCTGTCGTGAAATCCAGTGAACTGGACTTTATCCATCCAGAATTCATAGCGAGCATCGCTGCACTCTCCTGTCTTCTAAGGAAGTGTATTACTGTACAGCCGCCCCCTCCCTCCGTCTCACCAGCCTCTCGCTTTCCTGTATGCCCTCTCCAGACCCTGAAGGTATAGCTCTTGTAAACTAGATACTTCGGTCTTGTTTTAAGGTTTTTTTGTTTTGTTTTGCTTTTGGTTTATTTTTGGTTTTGTTTTTTAATCTTTTTAATAATTTTCCCTTTTGATTACTTACTGTAAGCATTAGTGTAGTTGGGTTTAGGTCCTCAGTTTACTACTTGATTATTCTTTTTGTTTTTAACATTTTTTTCCTTTTTAAAAAACAATATTAGATTTTTTTTAATTTACTTTTCGTAATGCCACTGTTGAGCCTTTAGGCTTGCATGTTTGTATTATTTCTTTTGGGCTTTCTCTCCATCAAGCTTTGGATCACATTTTTAATGAAGTATTTGAGTCTCTTGACTACTGAGTTATCTTTCTAAATTGTTTTTGAGTCAATGTCTCACTATGTAGCCCTGGTTGGCCTGAAACACACCATGTAAATCAGGCTGGCCTCAGACTCACAAAGATTCCCCCTGCCTCTGCCTCTGCCTCCTAAGTACTGAAATTAATGTCATGGAGCACCACTCCTGATTTATCTTCCTAATTTTTATTGATATGAGGACTTCTTTAGATATGGGTTCATATCACTCATGGGATGTAACATTACAAATACCTTCCCACTCTATAACTTAACCTTTCATTCCCATAACAGTTTCTTTTGGGTAAAAGACTTTGCTTCACGTGATTTTTATTGTTATCTCTGTGTAAGTGCATGTCTCTGTATGTGAGTGTGTCATGTTCTCAAGTGCCCCCTGAGAGCAGAAGAAGGTGTCAGATCTCCTGAATCTGGGATCAGAACTCAGGTCCTCTGGAAGATTAACAAGTGTTGTTAACCGCCAAGCCATCTCTCCAGCTCCAAAAGGAGCCTTTGATATTGTTGTCATAGGTGCTAAGCTGTAAGTTCTCAACTGGAAATAGGACGTATAGTAGAATTTCAACTATAACATAAAACAATGTATATATACACTCTTAGCATAACACCTGGCATTTAGAAAAGCATATTAAATATTATGTTCTCCCTTCTGCCCTCCCTGCCCCCATCTAACCTACTTCCTGTTTCTGAGTCTCTTAGAAGTAAAAAAAAAAAAAAAAGTAAAGATGGCAAAGCGCATGTATTTAAGAACCCTACAAAGTGTGTGGCTCCTCATCTGTAATAGAAAGCAGGGTCTTCTCAATCATTCTTTCCTTCCTTTTGGAAATCTTATTACCATGACATAAAACGTGAGATGACTCACTGTAACATGACTCCTCCCACTTAATTTAAATCCCAGCTGAGGACTAGAGAAGTAGTATTATCAGAGTGTGTTCGTTCTGTTGCATTTGACTGACTGGCGACCTGAAAGCGCTATGGCTGGTTTCTCAACATGCATCATCTTCACCTGCGTCCTCTGTCAGCTAACAGGTGAGTCTAACCATGTCTTACCCCACGCTCCTGACTTCCTCGTCCTTTGAACTGATACCTGGACAGAGAAGAAAAGAAACAGCTCACTAAATTTCTTCTGATCACTTGGGGAAGGAGAGACTGAAAGGATGCAGGCTGGGTTTCAGGAGACCCGAGTTCTGATCCTGATCTGTTGTGAGTTAAGTGGAGAATGTGGATGCTTCCCAGACTTCAGAGTCTTTCTGTCTTAGCTTTCCCTCCTTTTGAGAAAAAAATTAGGAGTAAAGTTATACACCTATGTGTTGCTCATGGATGTGTTTTAATTAAATGTCTCTAAATAGATTTAATGATTATGCATAAGAATGAGATTAATGGAAGGAACTATTTGAATTTATTCTCTTAACCCAACTGCCTCCACTTAGAAAACTAATTTATTATAGATACTCTATGTTTGCTCCTATGAAGGGCTGAGGGACATTATGACCCTGTTATAGGCATGATTAGTCATGAAAGACTTTACTATACTCAGTGTTCTCTCACACAGGTGGTAACAGCTATGAAGGTGTGCTGTCTCTCTGTCTCTCTGTGTGTGTCTCTCTGTCTCTATCTCTCTGTGTCTTTGTCTCTCTTACTCTCTGTGTGTATCTCTCTGTCTATCTCTCTATCTCTCTCTGTCTCCCCGCCCCCCGTCGAGGACCTGTCATATCTGTATACACTATATCTACCTGAAATAACGTACGCCCAAACCACATAGCGTTTTCAGTACTTTTGTCGCCATTCTGATTCAAACCTACAGCCCGATGCTCCTCCTTGAATGCATCGAAGCTTGCATTCTTAGGAAGCACCTGGCCTGTGTAGCTTGTCCAAAACACAGTTTTGTTTCTAAAATTTCCCGCTAAACGGAAATGATGATCAGAATTAGAACTTAAGGAGGAGGTAGGAGAGGGCATGCCAGGGCTTTGCAAAGTCCAGGTGCTCACCTGAAGTATATGTAGCACAATGGGTCTATAACCTGAGTCCCCTGCTATCCTGCTTCTGTAAGCTGTGGGCAGTCTGGTGTTATGTCTGCCATGGCTTAAAAGAGTCAGAGACTGTCCTAGAACCTCCAACAGGCAGAGCAGTGGAAGCAGTACGGACCCTGGATGAGAGTTTCTTAGTTTAACTTCATACCAAATTGCTGTGATCAAGCAACTTTGAACTTTGCTTTTTTGTACATATCAGATAATTAAAACTAACTTGCAGAGTTACTTGATGTTTTAAAGTAAGATATCAAAGGCAAATTAATTCAATAATAACTGCCTCTTAAGCCCCTGATACCCTAAGGTACGTTTTGTACCATCTCATTACAAATCTGTAAGACATGGGTTTAAAGATAATGAAATGTAGGCTGAGAGAGCTCACACTTCATAGACAAGAGTACACAGTGATTACAAGGTAAAGGAGCTTCCAAAGTTGGTGCAGCCTCCAGACCACCAAGCGTTTGAACCAACATGACACCTAACATCAGAAAGGTGTTCAGTTGAAGTACATTTGAACTGGGTCTTTCACAGCAAGAACAAGGTGGGATTTCTTCCTTCTCCAGGTACATGAGCCCAAGGTAGGGACTGGAAAACCCCTCAACAAACAGAAATCACTATTTTGAAGAACATGACTGCACCAATGAGGTGCCACTCTAGACAGTTTGACAGGAGCCACAGTACGGGTAGCTCTTGAAGCCTTGATGTTCTCATCAAGATAAGGGGCCCAGCAGTCTGTTCCTCTGAGTGTCTTATAATGACTGAGAAATACAATGGTTTCAAGGAAAATGAGGGTGAGTTGGGGGACCACTGCAAAAAGACAGAAGCAGTGCAAGGAAGGGAGTAGAGGACGAACAAGAGCCACAGTGGTAACTGGCTTCAACGAGGATGAGGCAGGCTGGCTGTGTCGGGCAAGGGGTGTAATGAATGTGAAGTATGCAAGTTCTGCTGTGTGTACCCCCATTACAATGCAACCTTCGGGGATGTTAGAAAAGGAGGAGTTAGTCAAAGGACAACACATTCCAAACCACTTGTTTTTCCTATGGGGGTAATACTTTTCACTTACAAACAAAAACAAATGCATAAGTGATTCTACGTGTGGTTGAAGCCTCTCTGTAAGTGAGAAAGCCCCAAAGCCAGCTTTACACCTCCCCCTGAGCTCCCCAGAAAGACTGAGATTTTGAGCCTTCAACTGTAACAAGAGATACAAGGGAAGTCTCAACTTTAGCGTCTTGGTTCCTGGCCTCCCACATCAACCTAAGTCTCTAGACGCCAATCTCCCTGTCAGGAGAACAGAATGGAATTGGACTAATTATTACCACATGAAAATCCCTCCCCATTCTGTGATGCTCTGTTCTTGATTTCCTTGTGGAGGGAAGCTTCAGTGTGCTGGTGCATTTGTAGACTTCTCGAGGACTGGGCTGGCAAGCAGCTGAGCCCCGGACCCTGAGTCCCCTCCCCTGTGCCTTCCTCCTGGGGTTCCATTCTGGGTTTGTAGCTGCTGTTACTTTTGATCTTTTTGGGAGAATGTAATAAGAGGGAGATGTGAAAAGATGAAAGAGAGCTGACAAGAGGGACGAGATGCCGTCTCATTCTGCTCTCAGTATATCTCAGAGGTGATGATGCTCACACTAGAGACAAAGGCAGAGGCAGACAGATGGTGTCCTGCTTGAACGCCGTCCGCCTCTCCAGGTAGACCGCGGTGGTGCTTGAGGCTCTGGCTGACTAAGAAGCCATCCAGTCCTATTTTGGGAACTGCTTCTCTTACACGTTGCAGATATGAAAGTGGAAAAACTGGAAGGCCTTCTCAAAGCACCCTCTCCCCCTTGGCTCCTGCCTCCACCTTGCTGTCAGGTTGCTCTGCATTTGTCAAAACATTTTCAGATCCACATTCACTCTTCAACTTCCCCCAAATCCTGGGACATGAAGGTGCTTTCCCTCCTATAATGTTTTAGAGAACTGAAACTCAAAATGGCAAATGAAAAATAAAAAAATTAAAAACACAGGCCTCTGAAATGGAGGATCTCAGCACACTTACCTCTCAAATTGAGGATCAAACTGGGGGCCTCATGGGTATCCACCAGGAATTCTACCACTGACCTACACCTCTGCCATTTTGAAAAAGTCACTTAGCCCTAGTATCCTCATTTATAAAACGGAAAGTATTGACTCTTATCTCCTGAGCTTGTTCTAAAGATCAATAAAGATCGGACCATCAGACTTGTTTACAGACATCAGGTGTTCATTCTGGAATTGTGGTTGTGGAGGAGCCAGGGTAGATCCTGGGTCTCTCAACTCCCACTGAGGACAGAGAGCCCTTTCTCATGCTGCAGCATCCTAGTAGGAAGAGAGCCTGTCATATCCTTCTGTGGGCAGAGCCATGCTATCACAGGGTAATCTGAGACCTAACACTTGTAGACTGGCCATTGGGCAATACACACACACACACACACACACACACACACACACACTCACACACATACATGGACAGTCAGCACTGAGCGGGGATATTTCTTTCTTGAAAAGTTAAGATGAAAATGAAGGAAGACTTACAGTATTCCAGAAGTATGGCTTTAAACAAGGTTTTGAGTGATATTTCTTTCAGATAGAGAAGCTGAAGCACAAAAATAGCATGAAATTTAAAATTTAAAAAAAAGATAAACCAAGGGCTGAAGAGATGCCTTGGGTTAAGCTGCTCTTCCAGAGGACCCAGGATCAATTCCCAGCACTCACATGCCAGCTCACATCTGTCTATAACTCCAGTTCCAGAGGTTTTGATGCCTTCACACAGACGTATATTCAGGCAAAACACCAATGAACATAAAATAAAAATAAAGAAAAAAAAATGAACCAAGGGGCTGACAAGATGGCTTGGCAAGTAAGGGCACTTGCCACCAAGTCTGGCAGCCTAAAGTGGAGCCTCAGAACCCACATAAACAGGAAAGGAGAGATCTGACTCTATAGTTGTTTTCTGGTTTCCATGTGCCCCCATCCCCACAACACACATATCATGTGTTCATGTACACACACACACACACACACACACACACACACCAAGGATCAGGAAAGGAAAGAAGTCTGGTTTTGTATTTTTTCTACAGCCTTATATCATTATCTTGATCTTGGAGCTGAAACCCCAGGCTTCTCTCACGTCTGAGTCATGTGGAAACTCTAAGGAAATCCCTTAAGCTGAGTGCTCTCAGACTTAAACCACTTGGCTGCTGTGTGATAAGACAGAGATGAAGTGGACACAGAGAAAACAAGCTGCAGCCTTCCCTCCTGACATGTGGGAATGTGGTATCTGAGGAAGGTTGGTGAGTCTCCAGGACCCAGATCTTCAGGAAGGTATTGGTAGCCATACTCTACTTGTCTAACAAATGTGCCCAGCCTGTAGCCTGTGACCACATATTGCTCAAGAAAGCATGTGGCCCAGCACAAAATTGGAAACATGCTTACGTTATGTGATCTGTTTAGTAACTCTACTTTGCAGTTCTCAGGGGCCAGTTTTTCTGATGAGTGTCATGGTGCTGTGTCCTAAGGTTGGGCATGTTTGTGAGTCTAGACTCTGGAGCCTTCCGACTCCACAGGTCAGGCTTAGCCCTCCCATGGCATCCTCACAGTGCTTGTTGTTTCTCTTCTTGTAACACGTGTAGTTGCTTAATTGTCCATTTCTCACAACTTTATGGATGCAAAAATCATGACCATCTTGCCCAAGCCCTCGGTTATTAGCTCAAAAAAAAAAAAAAAGCCTAACATACAGCACCTGACTAAGACAGATGCAAACACAGCCAGCCATTGTACTGAGCCCAAGGACCCCAATGGAAGAGTTAGGGAAGAACTGAAGGAACTGAAGGGTATTGCAACCCCATAGGAAGAACACCAATATTAACTAACCAGACCCCTCAGAGCTCCCAGGAATTAAACCACCAACCAAAGAGTATACATGGCTGGTCCATGGCATCAGTGGTAGGGGAGGTGCTCGGTCCTGTAGAGGCTCGTTGCCCCATTGAAGGGGAATGCTAGAAAGGAGAGGCAGCCATGAATGGGTGGGTAGGGAAGTGCCCTCTTAGAGGCAAAGGGGAAGGGGTTGGGATGGGAGGTTTGTAGAGGGGAGACTAGGAATAGGGACATTTGGCATGTAAATAAATAATCAAAAGAAGGCCTGGCATAGCAAATATGATCCACTTAGATATGGGCAAACTGTAGTCATATCTAGACGTGGTAAAGCCAACACAAAAAACCCAGTTTCAGTTCAGCTTAGAACATTATTGTTAAATGTCTCTGGTTTCTAGATCCCTTTTCCTAGTCAACTAGAATAATAAAACCAAACTGGTTAGAATTTTCCAACCCTGCCCTTTGTTCATTGTTTACGAAATGGCAGGAAGCTATTTTCTTCTGTTAACTTCCTTTTCCATCCTGAAGATAGATACACTTAAGATAGAAAAATGATCTTGGAAGGTGGAGGCAGAGTTTAAGAGTTTAAGGCCATAGCACTGGAGAGATGGCTCAGCAGTTGAGGGTACTCCCGCTCTTGCAGAGGACTTGGGTTTCATTCCCAGGATCCACATGGTGGCTCACAAACATCTATAACTCCAGTTCCAGGGGATCCGATGCCCTCTTCTGACTTTGGCAGGCACCAGACACACACATGATGCAATACACACATACACTCAGGCAAAACACTCATAAAATCAAAAAATCTAAAAAAAATTTTTTTAATTAAAAGGAAGGAGTTCAAGGCCATCATTGGTCGATTAATTGTATAGCAAGTTTGAAGCCCGTTTGTACCACATAGGACCTTGCTTTTAAAAAAGGAAAGAAAAAGGAAGATGAGAAAGAAGAGAGGAGGAGAAGTATGGTGGTTGTGTCATGGAGCTCTCTGCCCCATGTCTCCTCCACGTTCATTCTAACAAGGTTCAGGGAATCTCAGCCATTTCTTCATGCTTATTCCACACATCTGGTGACATTTACCCTGAGAAAACCGACAGTCAGAGTGCATAGAGGCCTTCTGAAGCCATATTGTCGTCACAGCTCTGCCATTTAACCACATTGCTCTACCTTGGATGTGGTTTGTCCCGCCCATGAATTTGATACTAGCATCTAGGTTCCCGCTGTGGTCAAGCAGAGGTGACAAAACCTTCAACAGATGAGGCCTCACAGAGGGTGTTAGGTGACAAGGGTACCAGGCTGAGAAAGATTTACTACTGCCTCCTTGCAGTAAGTGTCCTGAGAGCAGATCTGTTATAATGAAGCCATTCTGTCTTAGCCTCTTCTGCAGGGGGCTGGTTTTCTTTCTGTTTCTCTGTCATCTTGTGACCCAACCAAGAGAGTCTTGACCAAAGGCTTCCTGCATGGTGTTGTACTTACTCAGAGTTTCATCCTCCCAAATTGTAAATTAAGTAAACTTCTTTTCTTTATAAACTATTCAGCCTCACGTATTTTGTTATTACTTTTGGAAAAGGACTAATATATACTACAAATACATTCTCCCCAATACTAGTGTGAAAATTAAATTACTTAAAGGTCTAGGAATTGGGACCCAGATGGGGCACTAGTGATACCCAATCATTACCTGACTTCAAAATATTTACTCTTTCTATCTCTGTTGTTGAAATGAAAAAAAAATGAGCCTATCAATTGGTTAAAAAAATCAGAATTTATTAGATTTTTATCTGTAACTTTTACTGGTAGTATTCTTACATATTTTGAGCTAACTGAAGTAAAGGCAGTTTAAAACCTCCTGGCCTTTCTATTATGAAAGTAGAGAGCATCTTGAAAACTCAGATTATTTAACTAGATCACTTGAAAATATAAAATATTGGAGGTGGACTGGAAAGATAGCTCAGCGGTTAAGAACACTGTCTGCTCTTCCAGAGGTCCTGAGTTCAGTTCCCAGCAATCACATGGTGGCTCACAACCATCTGTAATGGGGTCTGATGCCCTCTTCTGGTATGTACTTAAATAAATAAATAAATAAATAAATAAATAAATAAATAAATCTTAAAAGCAAAAAGGAAAGAAAATATTGGAGGAATCCAAAGTATAAGTGCACTGGCTGATAAATTATAAGGAAAATGTTTGAAAATAGAAATGTGTTCCAGGAAGAGAGGCAAGTACTTTTGAATATTATCTTGCCAAAAAGTTTGTAGATCCCCCAGGCCTGTAATTAAGAGAGTATGTAGGTCTTGATCTATAAGATGTGGGTATAAAAATTCTTCTTCTTACAACTTTAACAGCTAAAGAAAGTCATAGTGAATGCTTAAAATTGTTGGCCTCAATTGAAGGGACTTTGTTAGCCCCAGATTTTGTTCCTTAAACTTTTACAGACAACACTCAGTCACATCACTGGAAAGACTTAGCTTCTTCTGGAAGTTCCACCAAGAGTTCATTCGTTCATGTGGAGTCATATAACCAGTGAAAATTGCTTCAGAATCATGCTCTATGGGGTGAGCTAACTGTGGTGAAACAAAAACAAGAATTTCTTAGGAAATGAAAACCATGCTGTAATCTCTAACATGTGGAGTGAGCACCATAAGCAGTGCTCCCTAGCATGCAGAGTGAGCACCATAAGCAGTGCTCCCTAGCATGCAGAGTGAGCATCGCAAGCAGTGCTCCCCTGTGGGGCAGTGGACTGTGCTAGGAAACTTGGTAAGGTTGACTAAGTTCAGAGACCCCAACACCCATCTGAGAATGGTAGGCATTTCCTTACTCCCTACTAAGATTCCTGGCCTGGAACACATGACCACACTCCCTACTAGGATTGTGGTCAGCGGTCACATAGATCAGAACAAAGTTCTCCATATTAATGAGGTATCTAGAGGCCCTGAGGGTTTAGCCAATCAGCTTCCCTTCCCAGGCGTTCCTTCCTGCAAAAGGTATTTAATCTCTGGTCCACCCTGAGGAAGTGGTACATACCCATTTTCCATGATGAACAGTCAATAAACGGTATAGGTAAGCATAGATTCTCTCTCTCTCTTCAAGAACCACCATGGAGAGCATGGGGGAAGCTTCGTCTACAGAGCCCCACTGTTTAAGTCTTCTGCAGAAGCCTCTCCACGCTCCCAGACAATTGCTGCTAAGCTAAGGACAATCACTGTTAAGCTAAGGGCAATCGCTGAGGGGCTAAGCCAGAGACTTCCACACACTACACCTCTCCAACCCTGGGCTTGTCCTCGGCCTGCAGGCCCCCTTCCTTACTGACTTCATGCAGTTTCCAGTGGCGACTGGATGCCTGAGAGCTTCGGAAGCCCAGCTTCAGCCTCAGCCCGACTTGTTTCTCATCCGTGCTGAAGTCCACACCCTAGGCTATATTCTCTGACCCCGATTGGTGCCTCAGCGCTTCCTGCAAACCCAGCATCCGATGGTGGCACAGGGTAAATGCACCATCCGTGTCCTTTTGATCAGCAGAATTCACAAACCCCACCCTCCGGTGGAACACGGAACCACACACCCAGAGCATGCAGGGTGAGCACCACAGAAGTGCTCCCCAATAGTCAGACTCACCCTTTTCCTTCTTCCTACACGAACATGTTTGAATACAGGTAGATGAAAACTTATGGGGATGACCCTGAATCCACTAATACATCATAAACTAGGAAGAAAACTCACCCCAAAACACGTCAGCTATTGCTGTTACTACAAACATTCTGTTTTCTTCCCATTACCCTGATTCATACTTGTGAACCACTGGCCCCAGGTTGGGCAGCCTAGCCCATCAACTTCAGGCAGAGCTGTCTCTGGATCAATTTAGCAGTCCTAAGCGACTCAGATAGAAACTTCCTTAATTGTCCCCACGCAGGAACCTGTCAAAGATAGAGCTTGGCTTTCAAATTTACCAAAGAGCTTGGGAGTAGGGGTCTCTGACCTTGTAGATTCTAATCTCAATGTTTTTGTGTGAGTGGGGTTCTGCGTGTATTGAAACGAGATATTTCTCAGAATTTTCCAAGGTCCCAAAGGACATAGTAATTTGTGGCAAGAGCTGACATTATGGTTTCTGTGTCTGCAGTCACAGCAGCTTCTGGAACTCTGAAGGAGGTGGCCGGTGCCCTTGATGGATCTGTGACATTCACTCTGAATATCACTGAAATAAAGGTTGACTATGTTGTTGTATGGACCTTCAAGACACTCTTTCTTGCCATAGTAGACAAAAACAATGGCGTAATATCTCAAAGTAGTAACAAAGAAAGAATGGTCTTTCCTGATGGACACTCCATGAAACTCAGCCAGTTGAGGAAGAATGACTCCGGAGCCTACCGTGCAGAGATTCACAGTTCATCGCTTCAGTCTCCCTTCACCCAGGAGTATGTGTTGCATGTCTATGGTAAGCAGGCTCAGTTCTAACGGTAGGTGACTGGCATATGGATGTAGTGTGCGTGCTGATACCGGGGAGATTCAAGTCAAGGTTGGGTAGTCACACAGCAAGGATCACGGAGCAGAGGACTCCCAAATGGATGACATATAACTGACCCATAAGATCTCTGCTTACTTTGAGATTCGATAAGAGGCTGTGCAGTGTAGACCATGGGCAACCTAAGAAGCCACTATCAACCAGGCGGTGGTGGCATGTCCCTTTAAACCCAGCACTCAGGAGGCAGAGGCAGGCAGGTCTCTAAATCCCAGGACAACCAGAGCTACACTGAGAAACCTTGTCTCAAAAACAACAGCAACGAAGTGGCTATCACAGAAATAGAAGTCAAGAATTGGCTACTCACTAGATGCATGCCTTTAGCCAAGGTGCTTTCTTAAGTCTTAGGTTCCATATATGGAATAGGATAATGACGCCTATCTTAAGAAGATTATTAGATACAAATTTATTACATGTCTTCCCCTATAGACTGTAAGCAATTGAAAAATAGACACAAAAATCAGAAAGAAGGTAAGATCCAGGTATTTTGGTTCATGCCTGTAGTTGTAGCTACTCTGAGGGTTTGGGCAGGGGAACTGCTCTGACTCAGGATTTAGAAGCTAGCCTGGGCAACAGAAAGAGAAAAGTGAAGATGGAGGGAAGAAGAAAGCAAATACCACTCAGGGAACTTACCCTTACAAGACAATCACTCAGCTATCTACCAGAAGAGTTAGGTGTCTTGTGCACTGACCTACAGTATTAGAGAAACTAGGAGATGGAACCCAAGATTGGCTTGCTGGAGGTAGGCAATGCACATTAACCCAGGCTTATGTTCCATCGAGACAGTGTAGAAGCAAACAGAAATCTGCAGATAATCTGCAGACAGTCTAGTTGGGGGGAAGATGAAGAAGAAAAAGGTATTTGAGCAAAAATATTTAATGGACCAAGCTCTAGGGTAGATAATTAATACCACACTCCCATCTCACCAATAAACCAGTTGCTGATCCTCCAAGCATAAAGGGTGGGAACAAGATGATAGGGAGAAGTGTTACTCAACATTGTTCTATCCTGGAGAAGAGAAAGAAAAGTCTGTTCAAGAAAATCTGGGGACAAGTGATAAGAAGCCTCTGGATAAAGACAGATAACATCTAAAATGCAAGTAAGCACAGTGCTTGCCCTGAAACGAGACTTAGTGGCTGTCAGTTCATTTTTATTGCATAGTTGTTTGGGCTGTTATAGCTGGTATTACTCTTGCTATGTAGAAAAGAGCCAAGCAGACTTTCCTGCATAATAGTAAAATATTCTGCAAGGGTGGGGGAATGCATGCCTTTATTCCTAGAACTATGGGAGGCAAAGACACACACACACACAAACTGTCTTGAAAACAAACAAAACAAAAACAAACAAACAAAAGAATAAGGCATTCTACTCTGATTTGTTGCTTCCTTAACCTTCTTGGACTCCCCAGGGAGATTCAGGTCCTAGACCTGGAAGATTAACTCCAAGAACACAGAGTTTAGGACTAACTTCTATCCTTTATTGTTCTTTCTCTTTTACAGAGTATCTGCCAAGACCTAAGGTCACCATGAATCGGCAAAGCAATAAGAACGGCACCTGCATAATCAATCTGACATGTTCTGTGGAACAGAATGGAGAGAATGTGACGTACAGCTGGAAAGCCATGGGACAGGCAGTCAATGAATTTCATGATAGTGCCAACCTTCCCATCTCCTGGAGATTGGGAGAGAAAGACAAGACCTTAATCTGCATGGCCAGGAATCCAGTCAGCAACAGTTCCTCAACTCCCATCCTTGTCCAGAAGCTCTGTGAAGGTGACAGTCTCTTTGGAAACAGGCTGTGTCAATGAAAGGCCTCTGGGAAACCACCAGAGTGGGAGGAAAATGGAAGTTAGATCCTTTCCCTGTTGACTCCACACACACAGCCAACCTCCTCATGCCTCTACTCATTTTCTCTTCAAGGTGCTGCCACAGACCTAAATTCACCCAGGGGCATCCTATACATCCTGTGCATCTCAGTAGTGCTCATTCTGTTTAGTGTCTCGCTGGCGATTATTCTTCATATTAAGTGGGCACAGAAAAGAAAAGGTAACACATGTACTTTTTTTGTCTTCATATATTTTTCCCTTTTATCCTTCAAGCAATATATTTCATCTATGTACAAGATTTAGTGTTAATTTAGTGTTAAAGATATAAAGATAAGAGGATATGGTCTCTTCTCTTAAGAAGTGCAAAGTCAGTGGTTGGAGACCACTCATTCAATAAAGTGCCATACAAGCATAAGGACCTGAGTTCAAATCCCAGAACTCAAACTTTAAAAAAATGCAGATGTGGCAGCATGGGTTTGTAATCCCAGCACTAGGGAGGTGGAAGTAGGTGGATCTCTGGAGCTTACTGGCCAGCTAGCCCAGACTAACTAGTTAGTTCAAGCCAGTGAGAGACCCTGTCTTATAAAACAAGGTAGACCATACCTGAGGAACAACACCCAAGATTGACCTCTGGCCTTCCCCCACGTGCACATGCACTCATGTGCACGCACGTATACATACACACCTGCACCTATTCACACATGACTATGAACACACACACATACATGTACACACACACAAAGAGAAGAGCAGTCAGCTCTATGCCTCAGCTCCAAACTTGAGAGAGTACTTCTTGCCTTCTCTCCTGAGGATAGGGTCCTATCCTAGAGCCCACTTCTGTCCTTTCCTCAGAAGGACATATAGATGGGGCCTTTCTGATGACACAGATCCTACCTACATTGCTGAATCTCATTCTGCTCCTGCTTGGCAGACAATGGTCTCCCAGCCCTTTCTATCCTCATCCCTGTCAGTGCCCCAACCAGCCTGTCTTCTCTACTCAATCAGCACCAAGACCCCTCTTTCTCTTCACCTCAGGCTGGACATATTCTTCTTGGATATACCTTTCTCTGACTCTCCACAGTGTGTCCCACACAGAGGGTTTTTTTGTTTTGGTTTGGTTTGGTTTGGTTTGGTTTGGTTTGGTTTGGTTTGGTTTGGTTTGGTTTGGTTTGGTTTTTTTGGTTTTTTGAGACAGGGTTTCTCTGGGAACCCTGGCTGTCCTGGAATTCACTCTGTAGACCAGCCTGGCCTCAAACTCAGAAATCCGCCTGCCCCTGCCTCCCAAGTGCTGGGATTAAAAGTGTGTGCCACCACCACCCAGCCCCACATGGAGTTTTAAAGCCATCATTTGTTTCTTCCCTCCCCACTGGTACTATCCACGCTGATGTCAAGGGTGGGCTATAGAGGAAAATTGCAGGGACAGTCAAGTGTGAATGCAGACTTTGAGATAGATCATCTTTCTCCATCAGAGACATTGTGGAGACATTCCTGACCTCCTCTGCTTCCCACTTTGGCTACCTAGATCTTGGGATCGGGAAGTGACGTGACACAATGACTAACTCATCCTGATTTATCAAGGACTTTCTCCATTTTTCCACTGAAAGCTCTCTGTCCTCAAAAGCATTGCCATTTCAGAATGAGTAGGATGGCTGCGCACTCTGAGTAGGATCATCCAGGGCCAGGGGACATGGTGAGTGGTAAGAAAAGCGGGCTTTGATTCTCTCAACCTGCTTTCAGGCTTTGAGAAAGACAAGAAGAGAGTTGACAGCCATGAGGAAATGCCCAACTCCTGCCCTCACCTGGAGGAGAACACAGACTATGACACGATCCCTTACTCAGAAGTGAGTCCTTTTCCATTTTTTTTTTTTTGTGTGTGTGTGTGTGTGTGTGTGACCAGTTTCACCTCTCTAAGACTTTCCCTGCTTCACTTGAGACTTCTCCCTACATGCTTGGATCGCATGGAAAGAGGAAGGGGATTAGGATGTGAAGTCCTAAACCTTCAGTCAACCCTGCCTCCCCCAACATTTTAATTCTTTTCTATGCAGAAGTGGGCGACCTTTAGAACACCTGACTCTGACCCAAACCTGCAACACTTATGCAAGCAGTTACATGAGTCATCTTTTTCTTTCCACAGTTTATGGTGTTGGTCTTTAACTTCTCATAGGAGGTGGGAGGTGGAAGGTGGGCCTGGTGTGTAGCCTAATCAATTTCTAAGGTCACAGCTATCACTCTATCACCTACTCCTTCTTCTCTTGTTCAGGACCTGCTCTGCATGGTCAGGATCAGACTTAAACTAACTTAGATGTTTATCTCTAACCATAAGTTCTTGTCCTTAGTGATGCCTCATCTTCAGTTCACTGGGCATCCTTACTCTTTCTCCAGGAGCCCTTGAACTATTGGATAGAGCCAGTTTGCAACACTAGCACTATAATTTCACTTCAGCCTTTAGCCACCTTAGGAGACTCACAGTTCATGAGACAGGTCACGACATATTTTGAAATTCATTGAAACATAGTACAGAAAATAATGCAGTAGGGAAAATTGAATAAATATATGAATAAAAAGCAATGGCGCTCTTTAAAAGCGATGAATATACGTCATTATAGCAGAAATGAAACAAGAGAACTTCTACTGCCCACACCTATTCCAGAACCTTCTTTTTCTTCTCTCTGCTTTCTCTTTCCTATACTTTGCTTTCTCTGGATTGTCTCCCTGGTCTTGTCTACATGACTGTTTTGTGTTTATTAATAGAAAAGGAGACCAGAAGAAGAGGCACCAAACACATTTTATTCCACTGTGCAGATTCCCAAAGTGGTAAGCAGCTTTCCAACTGAGTCTCATCCCACTTGCCAACCCCTTTCCCTGGAGCATGCTCAGTCAGACTCATATTTCTTGGACTAATAAGGAATTCTCAGGGGATTAAAACAGACCCTGCTGGCTCCTCATGTCTGCCTTCAGTTGGAGAGTTCTTCCCCCCTGCCTGTGATTCCAGACATGTGGAGGCCATTTAGCTTTGATCAAGTCTTCTGGATAGTTTTTCATGGCTTTGTTTGAGGCTACCCAAAAATATAGGAACTAGATGAAAACAGAGTAGGGAAGGGTTCTAGATTGGAAGGATAAAGAAGATCAGAAAGATTCTGTCTAATGTCATGGAGGAGGAGAAGAGCTATTAGTTTGTGCTATGCTCGGGAGGAAAGGGGTCAGGGACGGCGACTCCTGTTGTAGCAACTCCTGTTGCCCCTGAGCGGCTGGTAACTGGAGGAGGGAGATCTGCTTGCTCTGGCTACGTTACATCTGCTTTGCAGCCTCCCTCTTAAACCACAGATATGATAAGATGTATGGCTTTTCCCTCCACAGCTTGTGCTTTGCAAGAACAATGCCTTCTTCTGTTTTCCTTTCCTCTCCAAAACAATCAAAAAGAGAATGGTGCTGGAGATTATTTCCTTAGTGGCAGAAACACTTGTGAATTAACTCTAAGACTGCATGGCTTGTTAGGGATGGAGAAAGATAAATATATTTCACTTAGAGAATAATTTCTCTAAGCCAAAAGTAAACAGGACTTTGCATGGTGGAGCTATGGGTTGGGTACCTTTAGAAAGAGTGTCTGGAATGAATGGTTATGAATGGTTATCACAGGTGACACGGTGGGATTTTAGGGTCCTGATTAGAGTTTAATAATAAATGTGTCTGTACAGTATAAGGCTGTTAGCCTGTTTGCTGGGACAGTTCCTCAGCTAGCCCATCAGACTCAACCCAACTTCCCTGCCACCACGGCTCTCCAAGAGGCTCTCCCTCCCTTTGCTCTACCTCCCTGACCTGTTCCCGGTCTGCTTCCATCCCTCTGCCTCTCCCTTCCTCTCTCTCTGCCCCAACTCAGCCTCCATGGCTTGCTTTTCTTCCAGGGCAGGTGAGGAAGCAGCAAACATATCCTGCCAGCCTGGCACTACTCTACAGAGCAATTAACAGTTGAGGATGCAGGGGCACACCTTCATAGCCAGTTGATACCACGTGTGTGGGGGTGGGTTATCCCAACACGGTCTTCTGTGAAAGATCCAGAACTCTTCAGTGTTCTTCTTCATGTCTGCCTGCAGGTGAAGAGTCCCAGCTCCCTGCCTGCAATGCCTGCAGTGCCTGTAGTGCCACACACTCCAATGCCATTAAGCTTTGAAAATGTTATCTAGACAGCAGCACTCCATCCTCTCGCTCCAGAAAAAAAGCTGCAAAAAAAAATCTCACCATTCTGAGCAGAAAGGAAGACTTCTGTCAAAGACTGAATGTGAATGTCTCCCCGCCAGACCCATGTATTTGCATACAGATGGTGAAGATCTGGCTCAAGGGATTTCAGGGAACAATGACTCTTGGGGATGGGATACGACCCATTCAGACATTCTGACAAAGAATCTGGCTATGCCCAGCCTGTCTCCAGTAATTATGAATGACGTTGTGTTCACAGGCAATGGACTAATTTGTTCGATGAAGAAATTTCAAGACAGCACAGCATCTAGGTTGTGACACAGCTATGTTCAACGTTTTTATTCACATTTATAGTAACTCTGTAAATATTTAATCTCAATAATTCAGTTCCCAGATAAAGGACACACAGCCTTTTATATTTATAATATAAATATAATATAAATAATATAAATATAGTATAAATAATATAGTGCCTTTATAGCACTAGAGCTGGGCAGACATCTACCCTCTAAGCTGCCTACTTCCCTATCAATAACCCAGAGATAAAATTTGCCATGTTCTATCTAGGCTGCTCTTACTCCAATTGGCCCAGCCTTCATGGCCATATTTTCATGATTCACCTACCCAGTGACGTCTTCTCCTCTCTCCGCCTTTTCTCTCTTTCCTCCTCATCATCCTCCTGCCTCAGATCCCAAGCCTAAGAACCAAAACCTCACCTACCTCTCTTCTGCCCAGCTATAGGCTGCCAGCATCTTTATTCAAGCAATAGTTTTAAATTACAGAGCAATGAAACATGGCATCACTTTGTGTGGATGAGGATTCTCTAGTCCCTGAGGGCAACCAGACCTTGGGGACCAGTAATAAGTATTACAATACAGAGCAACAGACCACACCTCCACAGAACTCGAAACAAAGAAAAGAAACAGGAGGATGTGAAAAGCACGCGGTTTGATAGGTAGCATGAAAGGTTTTCAAATGGGTTTTTCACCTTAGACTGTAATGGTTAAAGAGATGAACTCCTTTAAAGAGTAACCCCAGACTGTGCCCTAGGACAACAGAAAAGGGGCACTGAGAGCAAGACCCTGTCTATCAAAAACTTCAAGGTATAAACTGAAAAACCCTCTTCAAAAAGCTGTCATTTAAAAGGAAGAATGCCTGAACATAGAGTGTCCCACATCGTCACATCAGACTGGGGAAGTATTTCTCTGGATTCTCACAGTTCTCAGAGGCCGCTGGAGCCCTGACCCAAACAGGTATGGCTCTATCCCTGAGTGGCAGCAGAACTCAGCAACTTCCAGCTTTACACACATGCAGAATGTAAAATCTGGGGAGTCACTGGGGCTTGCACTAAGGTTCCAGGGGAGGAAAACCAGACAATGTGTACTGAGGTTGGGCTTTCTGAGTGGACCTACCCTGTAAGCTTGCATGAAACAATGAAGGAAAAACCTAACTAGCAGTTTAGACTCCAGGATGCTGGAGCTGCCAGGAACATGAAGCATCTACTGAGAAAAACTTCAGGCACTGAAAACACCCAAGAAAGAGGCCATGTGTGGTTTAGGTTGCAAGGTCATGGAAACAGGCCTCCTCAAATCCACTGAAACATACATGACGATACCATGTACCTAGGATGCCAGATACAGAACTTCAAGGTTTATATCTCTCTGCTGGGTTTTGACCTATCTTTGGCTCTTTTTTTTCCACACCCCATCCCTCCCTTTTGGAATGTGAATGTTTCCTTTGCCATTGTACATTGAAAGTATGTGAGTTTTCTATTTTATAAGAGCTCACAGCTAAGACTTTGCCTTACAACTCATAAAAGACATTGGACATTGAACTATTATGTCTAGGAACTCTTGAAGTTAGATGAAATGTATTTTGCATTGTGTGACGACCGTGAACCTATTGAGCCAAGATCTGTGAGCCAAGACGGGAATGTTATGGGTCGAGTCTAAAAGATGCTCCATGTACAGGCTTGTGTGTTTGAACACTTGGTGTTCAGTTTGAACAGTTGATGTTATTTAAGGGTGCTGTAGACCCTATAGAAGATAGAGCCTGCCTGGAGATGCTGAATTTCCAGGAGGGAAGCCTTGAAGGTGATATTCACTTCTGGCTCTGAGCTCACCTCATGCAGAGTCCTATCCACCATGTCATGAAGAAACAGACATTGCAAACTCCTTCCAATACAGACCATGCTCCTGAAGCCACCATGGCTCTGATGACGATGGAATATAAACTCTAGAACTCAAAACTGAAATCAGCCCCTTCCCCTGTAAGATGTTTCTGCTAGCATTTTGGCACAGTGGTAACTTCCTTCCAGAATAAGCTACTCTTAGCATCTTCGGACTCTGAGGTTCATCATCCAATTGCTGAGAACTCTCCCCAAACCCAGAATCTGTATTCCTTTCTGCCGATGTGACTAAATCTGTCAGTTAGTCCAGAGAAAAAGACTGGGAGATGCCTTGATACATAAGTACATATTAATTAAGGCCTCAGGACAGGAGCTTAAGTCCTATCCTATTCTAGAACTTGAGATCAGGACTGCCAGAAGACTGCTTGCCGGGACAGACAGATGTGTCCAGCACACGCAGGTTTAATTGTCCCAAATAAATGTATTAATTTATTAATGAAACCACCAGCTATGAGCCAGATGCTGTTACACTTGTATGGACTATTCTAATAATCTTGCTTGATATCTCATGAACCACTTTATAGGGCACCACAGAAACACTATCTATGGAGTCCCAGAAGGGCATGTAGCTACCAGTGGCCAAAATGCACAAGGACAGAAAATCCAACTAAACATCTATGTTGGCGGGCACCATCTGAGGTCATTTAAAGCATATGCTGAAAGACAAGGACCGCTCACCTGAACTTCTCTTATACCTACATGCCCCAAGGGAAATGTGTAAGCCCTGAGCCTATAGAGGAGTCCATCTTTATCAATAGAGAAATAGCCTGCATACAAATTTTGGATCTAGTCTAAGACATAGCATCAGAGATAGAGTCTAGGGTTTAATGGCTTGAAAACCTTTACAGTTGTTTTTGGTGGTGGTGGTGGTGGTGGTGGTTTGGTTTGGCTTGGTTTGGTCTGGTCTGGTCTGGTCTGGTCTGGTCTGGTCTGGTTTGGTTTGGTTTGGTTTTTTGTATTTGTTTTCCAACAAGTCTTTATTGAGAACTTCTGCTAGGTTAGTCTTCTAGGTAAAACAAACATATACCCTCCCCCATAAAGCTTATTTTCTTTTTTAGTGTCATGGAAGAGACATGAGAACATGTAGAGTAGGTGTGTGTGTGTGTGTGTGTGCATTTGATGTGCTCCCAGAACAAGAACTACATGTCTTCATGAGAACACTGAAAGGGAACTGGGTTTCTAGGGCTGAGGGATATGAAATCAAGTAGACAAATCCATGCTTAAAAGAGAAGAAGCCAAGATGATGTCTTGAGCTGACTGGAGGGTGAAAGCTAAAAATAGGCTGTATCCCCCCAACACGTAGCAACTCTGTCACAACCACAAAGGGCTGAGCTAGGCTCTGCCCAGAGCTGCATAGGCATCTGTCCAAGACACAGATGTAAATGCTACTAAATCCTGTATATTAATTACTGTGTTTATTACTTTAATTGTATAAAGAAATAAAATACTTAAGTAAGATCAGTACATATTAAGGAAGGGTTTTGCGAAATTTCTCTCCAAGGTGAGAGGTAGGGCACAGAACAGCACCTGAAGAGAACTATTTACAATGTGGCCAGAAGAAGCTGGGGCTTCAAATTTATTCAGATAATAATAATTCTGTAGTTATTCATGTCCCCTATATTGATCGTTTTAAAAGCATTGCGGAATTCACATACAGAAAATATGTGTCAGGGCTGGAGACTTGGCTCAGTAGTTAAGAGCACTGACTGCTCTTCCAGAGGTCCTGAGTTCAATTCCCAGCAACCACATAATGGCTCACAAACATCTGTGATAGGATCCGATGTCCTATTCTGGTGTGACTGAAGACAGCGACAGTGTACACACATACATAAGATAAATAATTCTTAAAAGAAAGGAAGAGAGAGAGAGAGAGAGAGAGAGAGAGAGAGAGAGAGAGAGAGAGAGGTTAAAAGTACTGACTGGTTTTCCAAAGGACTCAGGCTTAATCCCCAGCACTGACTTGACAAGGTGGCTCACAACCCTCTGTAACTCCAGTTCCAGGGCATCTGGTCCCCTCCTCTGGTTTCCATGGGCACCAGGCATGTGCACAATACATAGACATACATGCTGATAAAACATCTATACACACAAAATAATATAATTAAACTAAATTTTTAAATACAGGTTCTATACCCAGGTGTGGGGGATCTACGCCTATAATCCCAGCATTTGAAAGGCTAGCCACAAATTTGAGGCCAGCATAGACTATATAGGAAGGCCCTGTCAATATTATTATTATTTATTGTTGTTATACATTTACTTTTTGTGAAAATTAAAATATTTAATTTGTGGTGGAACATACTTATAATCTTAGCACCCAGGAGACAGAAACAGAAGGACTATGCATTTGAGAACCATCTAGACTGTACGAGACCTTATCTCAAAAAAAGAAGAAAGAAAGAGAGAGAGCGAGAGAGAGAGAGAGGGAGAGAGAGAGAGGAAAGAAGAAAGAAAGAAAGAAAGAAAGAAAGAAAGAAAAGAGAGAAAAGACAGGTCTTACATTTTTATAAAGCTAGAAAATGTTATGGCATCACAAGTGGAAAAGGTAACATGTAGAACTGAATGCATTCCATGAGTACTGCTACACTGAAAGACATGCCTTGCATGAAACCCTGGATTCCAGCCCAAGCTCAGTATGAACTGAGTGTCGTGGTGTGTGGTTGTAATGGCTGCACTCCAGTGGTGTTGGCAAGACAGTCAGAAACTCAGAATCCTGTGTCAACAAGCTCCAGGTGAGCCTGAGATAAGTGAGACACTGTTCCTAAATAAGTAAATAATAAATAGGAAGGAGAGGAGGAGAGAGAGAAGCCAATTCTCTCCTCGGTCCTTCCGTTAATATGAAGTATATTTAAAATAAATCTATGTGTATAAAAAATGAAAGAAAATACTTCAAAACTATTAAGACTGGTTGCTGGGGAAAATGGAAGTTTGTCTTGTTACAGGTTTGGTGTGTTTGTGTGTGTGTGTGTGTGTGTGTGTGTGTGTGTGTGTGTTTATTTTCCAAATGCTTTCAGTTTAAGAAAATTATCATTGCATAGAAGAATGGAGGACGTTTTAAATAGATTTTGGATGAGAACAAAAGAGCTGGTGTCTGCTAAGAAGAGGTGAAGGGGAAATCTGAAACCCACCTGCTAAAAGTGTGGTTTCAGAGGTGGAAAATGCCCCCCTATGGGGAAACAGAGGAAGACCCTCCCACAGTGATCACAGGAAAAGATTAATTTCTGTCAGAGCCTGTGGCTTGAATTCATTGTGGGTTATGGGCAGACAAGAAGAACCTGGGCTTTGACTCCAACACTTGCCGCTCTCCTCTTTCCTGGGAACTAACTCATATGGTAAACAATTAGGATGTCATCCACCCGTCATCCCCACCACCACCCCATCATTAAATGAGGTCTGGAATCTATGAACTCAACATTTCACAATATTAGCTGCAAAAGAAGGTTCCTTCCTCTTGTGCTCAACTTACAGGCAAAGGAAACCACCAGCTTGTCAATGTGAAAAGTCACACCACCTCACAGGCCCACATACAGCCCTCCAACCTCTGTGGTGTAGGACTTGTGAAATGTGAGAAATGAATTCTCAAATATAAAAACCTAATGAAGAGAAGGAGGAGGGGAGCAACAGTTTATGTATCATTTCAGGAAGCCATGTGCTCATGCTCTCACACACACACATATTTTTATCTGTCCAACAGCATTACTGAGTACAACAAATGCCAGGCACTGTTCAAAATGCAGAGCACAGAAAAGAGGTCTGTCCATTCAGGGTGCTTATACCAGAATGAGAGAGGTCAACGTGGACACTACCCTCCAAATGACATACAGCAGTCATGACTGCTAAGAATGAGAGGCATCCGGTGCTGTAGTCACCTACAACAGGACTTTCCTAGGGCAAGAGAATAGTCAGAGGCTCTCCAGTTCAGTAAAGATTGATGTGGTCCATCACAACATCCATCTGTGAACTGCTGGAGCAGGTGAAGGGGAGGCCAGTCTTGCAGAACCAAAGCTGCAGGATCTTCATGACACAGGGCAACAACAGAAGATCCAAGAGTTCCAGAAAGGATCCAGTATTGACAGCATAGCAGAAACCAGTCCTTGAACTAGACCAATGACTTGTTGTAATGAACATTTGCAAACAAAGCTGTTTGGGCAAAAGAGTATACTGTGTGACATACCATGACACACCACAGCTTCCATGACGAGATGTGTTTTTTAATATTTATTTATTTATTTATATTTATTTATTTATTTATTGTTTTCTCTTGGAGGTGGTTACAAGGGCAGAGGATGGATACAGAAGAATAGGGAGGTGAATGAAATTGAGGTTCATGATGTGAAATTCATAAAGAACCAATAATAAGTTTTTTTAAAAGTTTCCTCATGATAATTATCACAATAAAGCTTAAGGCATGACTACATTGACATTCCTTTAAATACCTATGACTTCTTCCACAAGAATGGGTTCTATTGACTGAGAAACAAGGCTGAGGAATCTGAAGGACTTGGGTGAAGCTTGGCCCTACAAAATAGAAAAGACTGTCAGGCTATAAACAATATCCACGCAAGCCTTCTGTATGGGAAACAGGTGTAAATTCCTTCCTGCAAAGAGAAAAGCATGTTGTGTACAGCATTCTGGTTTCTCTAGTGCTTATCTGTCAGCACACAGACCTGCCTGCTGCAGCTTATGTGCATACATGGAGTAAGACTGTGCACATATACAGGAGACGGGGCTAAGGAGGAAACCAGAGGAACATGAGAAAACCAACTTTGCTTTCTAACATCTCACTCTGGCAATAACCAATTTAGTCTTGGGAGCTCTAACTCATACACAAAAGGCAAAGATGAGTGATTCCCACAGGTTACCAGCAATGACCAACTCCCACGAGGCCCCCCTTACTGCAGGTTGTACCACTTGGTAATTCACTTACAGTATAAAACAAGCCTCTAGAACATGTACTTATGAAAAGCAAACTGCATCCAAACTACTGGGAAGTTCTTTGGCTCAGCAAAACCTAAATAATTTAGCTGGTGTAGTAAGGTGTACCTGTAAACTTAGCTATACAGCAAGAGGGCCACTGAGTCCAAGAGTTCAAGACTAGCCTGAGAAGCATAACAAGTCCCTAACTCATGAAAAGAGAAGGAGGAAGAAGAGGAGGAAAAAGATTGTTTTGACCATGAGTTGAGGGATGAGTAGGGTCACTCCCATTTCCACCCTGAATCTAAGCTATGGAGAAACAGCAATCTACATTTGATATGAGTTCAGAGCATATACAACCTTCTGGAGGGCCTTCCCTTAGCCTTGAACGTTATTTACTACAGTCTGTGTCCCTTAAAACTCACAAGTTGAAATCCTGACTTCCAACATGATGATGTCAGGGGAGGTCTTTGAGAAATAAGTAGGTCTTAAGTGTTTTCATGAGTGAAATTTATGCTCTTATCCAAGGA